TCTCTACAAAATGAAAAGTGTCTTGGCTCTGAATGTTGATTCGTTATGAAAATACAGCTGTTGTACAAACAGCCCCAAAAAACGATTTTGAAGCTATCTGAAAAACGTGTCTAAAAGACGATTTTTCTGACTTTTCTTTGCTTAATAACGATTAATTAGAATGGTTTCGAATTTAACAAGCTACCGCATCTTGCAGAGCAAACAATTTTCTACAAACTGGTATACTTGTTCAATTTTCGCCTGCTCGTCTTCAGTCTTTTAGACACGTTTTTCAGATAGCTTCAAAATCGTTTTTTGGGGCTGTTTGTACAACAGCTGTATTTTCATAACGAATCAACATTCAGAGCCAAGACACTTTTCATTTTGTAGAGAAATGTTTAATCTACTTGATTATCTAGTTGCCATTTTAGATTAGTTTGCAGCTCTACTGCAATAATCTTTTGAAAAAGAGCGAAAAAAGGAGACCGTTAGCTGGACAAGCCGATAAAAATCATCTGTTTATATAATTCATTCAAATTTTGCTTTATCATTCAATTTTTGTATATTCCATATCATTCCCCCAACGTGAGCTTAGAAAACTTTCTTGAAACATCAATAAATCAAAAATACTCTTGATCGAATATTATTATGGTCGAATGAATAGTATAACTTTAACAGCAGATATTAGTAAGAAGAAGAAAAGTAAAAATGGAAGAAACCTAGATGAGAATGAAAGTACAGTTTCTTTGTTTCTCTCTTTTGAATTGTCTGCTTGTTTTTTAGTGATTCACTAGATGATTCATTAGATGATTCACTTGGAAAGTGTGAAAGCTTGAATAAATATCAAAATGAAACTAATATCTGCTGTTAAAGTTATACTACTCGCCCTTGTTAAAGTTATACTATTCGCAAACCAAGGGGAAATTCTCCCAACTTTTTATCAAGCCGCGGGACAACATCACAAATACAATTAAATTATTATTATTATTAGATATGGGAAATGGGCCATGCAAAGACTACAAATCATTTCGTTGCAAATGCGAACAATGCAAGGATTTTCATTACGCTCGAATAAGAAGACTCCGTCAAACTCACGAGAGAAATGGTCAAGTTGTCCGAGAGTACCGTTTTCCTGACGGCAAAGAAACGCTTTACTTGACAATTTCTGATCCTCAGCCCGCCACATACAACATGGGCAGTACACCTGCCACGACGCTTAATCTCAAGCCCATAGCTGTCGCCATTGTTGAGCAAATACCTGTTGTTGGAGGATTCTATTCGTTTATTCTGGATCAATTATGGCCAGACGGTCGAACGAATTATTGGGAAGAGGTGAAACATGAAGTGATGCGAGCGATTGGTGAAGCAATTGACCATGAAAGACTTCGTGGTGTAGAGCTACAACTTCAAGGAATCAAGGGCAACATTGCCGAAGTCGCCAGTATCTCCAACCCCAGTCAACGCTGTGAAAAAGTTACTACGATCAACAGCTTGATTGTTCATATTCGGCCCCACTTTATGTGTGATGACAACAAATTAGCTACGTTTCCCTATTTTCTCTCTTTGGCAACCCTTCACATCGCTATCTTGAAAAGTCAATTTATCTTACGAGATACAATAGATAATCGTCAGTTGCTCATCAAATATGTTCGGGAGTATGTCGAATATGCTCATCAGATATTTCCCGAGTTGGTTCAGCATCGCCTTGGCAAGATTACAGGTTTGGAAGGGCCTAGACGCTTTGACTGTGCCAGATATTTCCTTGAAGCACATGATCGACACACCAATAATCGCGTGGCAGCAGTTCATTGGCATATTGAGTTTCCGTATCACAATGGAATACCATTTGAACAAATTGCCAACCAGCAACTCCAGGCATATCGAGAGCAAGTAAGGCTGGAAGCCACTCGTTTCTACACGGAGATGCTTTCCCCAATTGATTATTGGAGAGATCTGTATATTCCACCTGCTATGAGACTAAACAATAGCCACGTTGCTCTGTTCAGTGAATGCCATCGTCGATTTGTTCGCATTGATTCCAAAGGCAATGCAAACTCAGGAGGGCCTGTCACGAACCGCGACTCTCTGCCGAGAGATTGGACAGCTGAACGATTTGTGCTTCATGATCTGGGATTCGACGATCAGCGACGACCCGTGATAGCTCTGCATTGCCTTGTTCACAATCGATTCCTTCGTGCCAACAGCAACAATGTTGTCGATTCGTCCAGTCCGTCAAGTCATGTTCCGGATTGTTGGCAATTCGAGAGATTGGTCGTCGTTCATGCGGGCGATGCTCAGATTGCTTTATTTAGTCACTCGCATAAGCAATTCATTCGAATGAAGCCAGATGGTAAAATGGATTTGAGTGGGCGATGTGAAGTGAATGGATTGGCGGATGATTGGCAGTGGGAAAAATTCTCCGTTGTGTCATGGTAAACCATTAGTGACTCTTATTGCTCGATAATATGCAATATATTTGCAAATTCTTTTTGAATTCCATCATTATCTTGCTGTATTGTTGTGTAATAATTGTCATCATCGAGATAAAGAGTTAAATATTCAAGACATTGTTATAAATAGGAATCATATTAAAAAGCACACATTGCTCCCATCAGATATGACCCACCAGCTTCTTCAATTTTGCGGGATCGAGAGCCACAGCATCTGTGGTGGCTGTGAACGTCTTGGAAAGCAGCGTTTTGAAAGATTTTGAAGACGTCTCATACTTCAGGAATCCTTCGACGTGTTTTTCTTGTATTGTCTTGGGACCTCTCCCAAATAATGACTGTCCTCTCATCTACGTTCACGATAATTTAAAGGCCACATACAACATGCGCACTTCACCTCTCAAGCCACTTAATCTGAAGTCCCGATCGTTGACTAGCATTCATATTAGCGAGAAATTATATACTTTTTACTTTCCCCGCTCTACAGGCAATATATATATAAGTGAGAAAAATCAAATAATTTGTGAAACGATTCCCTATCTCACTGGACATAACTTTCTTCTTCAAGCATCCAAGTAAAACTCCTCAGGCTCGACTAAATTCACCCTTCACTTTTCTCTGTTCGAAAAACACTTAATGAGAAAATTGCTAATTACCTTTCACGCTCTGGAAGCAACATATATACCAGTATGAAAACTCAAATAATTTGTGCCACGATTCGCTATGTCACTGGACTCAGCTTTCTTCTTCATGGACACAATTAGAACCCATCAAGCTCTACAAATTCACCCTACGCTTTTCTCTCTTCGACCAACACTTAATGAGAAAATCGCTAATTACTTTTCACGCTCTACAAGCAATATATATGCGAGTCAGAAAAATCGAATAATTTGAGTTACGAGTCGGTATGTCACTGAACCCAACTTTCTTCTTCATGGACACAACTAGAACCCATCAAGCTCCACAAAATTCACCCTTCACTTTTCTCTCGTCGACCAACACTTAATGAGAAAATCGCTAATTACTTTTCGTGCTCTACGAATCTCGTCCATGTCGATATCGTTTCTCACAAATTTAATGATAGCAGTATTCTGAGATGAAAGTCGCTTTGGTAGATCTGGTATGATATGCGTATTTTCGAGATTTGTTGGACAGCGCTGTACGTCACATAGCTAAATGAATAGATTAATGTCTTTGGTCACACCACTTAAATTGGTACCATCTGCATGTTTCCACCAATGATCAAAATCGAGAAGTTTCTTGTGATTTGGATGATGTTTACGAAAGTCCTTTTCCATCGGCCTGAAGAACATAATAATAAGTTTAGTTTCTGCTTCGGGCGACTGTAATTTCGGCCGGCATTCAAATGAGATTGGCGGAAAATGGATATCGACGGCATAGGAAAGCGATTGTTAGGTCATATCATATCGATGAAAGTCGATGTGGTATTATTCAGTGTTGCTGGAAGCTGTTGTTGATGATGATTTCGACTGTTTACTTCGTTCATTCCATTCCCATTCCGATTATGGTACTGGTTACGAATTATTAACGATCCTCGTCTGTTTTGATCCTTATTCGCAAAATTACCAGTGGTTCGACGATTTTTTGGGCTTTGCACATTACCACCGTCGTTTTCTATAAAATTTCGTCTCCGTTGCTGAGACGGACTCATTTGTACAGCCATTGAAGCATCGTCAAATCCGGAATAATGAAAATCGATTCTGAGATCAATAAATGGCAGAAAAAAACCAGCCTGTACAGACTACATTAATTTTGACTAATAAAGGAAAAATACAAAAACGAGAGGATTAAAACCAAACCTAAAACGAATAAATAAAAAAATGAAAAAAATTCTTTTGTTGTAGCACGCACGCCGTAAAGAAGAAGGGAATAGAAAGAGCAATTTTATCGAAAGAAAGAAAAGTGGTTTATACATGTATGTTGTTGAGATTGCTGATTTTAAAATACATTGCATCAATTCTTCTTCTCTTCATGCCTTGTTTACACTTCTCCGTGAGAATAATACAAATTCGATTACTTTTAAATTTTACACAAAACAAAAGCGAATTTTTCTGCAATTTGGTGCAAACAACTATGGTAGTATGCTATGATAGTGTGCTTACTTATATTATAAAATATAATTTTTAAAATTTTTTTTAAAAAATTTAAAAGTCTTATAAAATATCTTTGGCTTATTAAGTTATTAAAGTAAAATACTTTTCAAAATATATGACTGTGGCTCGATGAAGTAACGATTGCGAAGAACAAAATGTTTTTCTATTAGTAGGAAAAATAATAAAAAAAATAAATTCATCAGATTCATTAAATTAAATTTGCTAACTTTTTTACCGGTTCTAAACTTGGAATATTGTTCACAAACAATGTGAATTCATCGGTAATCGACTATCCTGCATCTAATGAACCCATCATCGACGTCGTCAGAGAATCTTTATGTAACCTACGGCGAACTTTTTCAAAAATGATGGAATGAAAATACTGGGATAATCTCGTGCAATGGGTTTTTATATAAAATCAACTATGGTAGATGCAGTGGCAAATCTATACTTCCAAAACCCCTAAATCTCTAAAAAAACCTTTTCAGCAACACTGAGATTTGATGCTCGTAAGCGAGCATTGATAGGAAATTGAATATTTTGTTAGAACTTCATATTTCAATTAACCCTGAACAGTTTTCTGGAGAACCTTCGATGACCTATGAAGGCTCTCTGAAGATCTCGAGAATATACCCATTGGATGCACCATAGTTGATTAACTATGAATCCACTTTTTCTGCTCATAATATTTAGCGCTTTAAAGCAAACTACAAATTGGATTAAAACTCGAAGGAACACGGTTTCTTAACTGGTCTAAATAAAAAAGATAGAGGACATTTTTTTTAATTTATCATCGTAACTTTGGACTACTACAATAATAATATATGACGCTAAATTTTGAAAGAAATTCATGTTGTATATCAAAAGTTATAAGTAGTCCTACTAAGAAGTGAAAACTAGTCAATATAGATTCAATAAACGGTGATAGTTTTCTGAGTCATTGTTAATAAAAAGAAGTTATTAATCAAAGAAATTGATGTTAAATATACTACACTGTGAGAATTATTTAGAATTTTGGATATGATGAGCTCGTAATATCATATCTTCACTCTTTTCTAAATCGTTCTTTATATCTATATACATATGGATTCTACAGTCCTGTTATCATGACTTTTTCATTACCATCGATAAAAAAGTTTTTTACCATTACCATCAAGAAAAATGTTTTATCGTTACTAGCGTAAAGGTATAATGTATCCCGCCTTGTGGTGCTTTATATATTTTCTCTCTTATACAAACATCACAGAGGAGCGCTTCACATTATTCTACAAATGATCCGAATGATTCGTGCATAGTTTTGACGGTTTCCCTTAACATAATGAGCTCTTATATTCTTTTCCGATTCGTTATCATTCTTATCCGATTCTGACAAGAAAACTATCGTGATTTTTGTAGAGGCAGCCCATACTCTTGTGTTTTCTTATTCAATTTGCTGCTTTCATACCTGAATAAAATTTTCTTAATACTGTTTTTCTGTAATACGACCTAAGTCGCAAGTGGGCAGTCTAAAGACTCGCCGTCATGGTCCACTGCCCGCAGATCGGATGTACTTCTCCAAATTTATCAGGACTATTGGAAAAGACTGAAGTTCGAAAAAAAACATTGTGTGAGAGGAGAATACAGGGCACGACATTTGCATTAATTCCGTCTTTCAGTGCGGAGTCATGACTTATATCCCGAACGGGATATTTATCCCGATCGGGCTATACGATTATCCCGATTGGGCTACAAATCCTGATCGGGATATAATCAAGATTCGAATCGGGATATATATCCCGT